CTACTACTACTACTACTACTACTACTACTACTACTACTACTACTACTACTACTACTACTACTACTACTACTACTACTACTACTACTATGATGAAAATCATTGGTACTGCTAACACAATTGCTAGCAGTATGCGTATAGTTATTCGTATGGTTGTTGTTGCTACAAATATTTCTACGATCATTACCATGACGATTTGTAGTTTCACCTCATGGGTAGTAGTCGTCTTAAGAACAGTAGTATCAGTAGTGTTCTTAATATCATAATACGTGTATTGCTCGTAGTAGTATTGCTACACTCTTAACATATTAGTATTGGTAATATTCGTACTCGTCCGATCCGTTGTATTTTTAGTGTTCGTAACATTCATCTGCTTAGTCATATGATTCGTCGTAGTACTAAAACATGATGTGATTAGCCGTGTTAGTGGTCGTCTTACTATGCTCCTCCATCTCCTTACGATTCGCTTTGATATGCCTGCTCTTATAATTCAAATGATTATTCGTCCACTTCCTCATCGTCCTCCTCCTGCTCCACCTCTACCTCCTCTTCCTCCTCCTTCTCCTCCTTCTCCTCCTCTTCTTCCTCATGTTCCTCCTCATCATCTTCCTTCTCCTCCCCCGGGCTCGTTCTCAAAGTGTAGATCTCGACCTACTGCCGCGCACATTCGCTTTTAAAAAATGTAAGAGCTTCACGGATTGAGGGCGAATCGTTTTTCAATGTGGCTTCCAACTTAACGCCACGCACATTCGCTTTCCAAAAGTTACAAGAGCGTCACGGAGTGAGATCGGTTCCTTTTCAACATGTGGCCCTCGCCTTGGCGCCGGCACTTCCCTTTTTTATACGCAAGAGATCCACGGATTCCCAGGAATAGCGTGCTTGAAGGATTCAGGATTACAAGGGTGTAACAGTTATGTTCGCTCGCGGTGTTGAAGTCCCAGGAATGGCGTTTTGGCTCAATTCGGGACTGTCAAGGCGCAACAGGCAGGTTGACCCGTGGCGTTGGAATCCCGAGAACAATGGCTTGGCATGCTTCAAGATCGTCAAACGGCTGTCTTCCAACGAAGAAATTCCCTCAGTGAAATTGAACCGCTGTAGGGGCCTATGAAGAGGAAGCTTGGTGGGAGGGCTTATTCCAACATCGTTGATGACTCTTGGGTTTACACTGGTCCTGCTCCTCCTCCTCCTCTTCCTCCTCCTCCTTCTCCTCCCCCATCCCCGTCCCCCCCCCCCCCCTACCCCTCCCCCTCTCCCCTCCCTCCTCCTCCTCCCCTCCTCTCCTCCTCCTTCCTCCTCCTCCTCCTCCTCTTCCGCCTCCTCCTCCTCCGCCTCGTCCTCCTCCGCCTCATCCTCCTACCTCATCTCCTCCTCCTCATCTCCTCCCCCTCCTCTTCATCCTCCGCCTCAATCCTCCTCCTCATCCTCCTCCTCGTCCTCCTCTTTCTCCTCTCCCTCCCCTCCTCCTCCTAATCCTCCTCCTTCTTTGTCCTCCTCCTCGTCCTCCATCTCCTCCTCCTACTCCTCCTCCTCCCTCCTCCTCCTCCTCCTCCCGCCTCCTCCTCCTCCTCCTCCCCGCTCCTCCCTTCCCATCCTCCTCTCGCCGTCTCCTCCTCCTCCTCCTCATCATCATCATCAAACTCCTCCTCCTGCTTCTCCTCCTCCTCATCCCCTCCTCTCCTCCTCCTCCTGCTCCTCTCTCTCCTCCTCCTCCTCCTCCTCCTCATTCATCATCATCACATCATCATCATCATCATATCATCATCATCATCATCATCATCGTCATCATCATCATCATCATCATCATCATCATCATCATCATCATCATCATCATCATCATCACGCGCCTCCTCCGAATCCTCCTCCCCATCCCCATCATGGTCATCATCATCCTCCTCCTCATCCCCATCCCCTGCTTCCTCCTCTCCTCCTTCTCCCCCCTCCTCACCCCCGTCCCCACTCCTTCCTGATCCCCATCCTCCCCATCCCCATCCGCCTCCTCCGCCTCCTCATTATCATCCCGATTGTCCTCCTCGTCCTCCTCCTCCTCCTCCTCCTCCTCCGCCTCCTCCTCCTCCTCCTCCTCATCATCATCATCATCATCATCATCAGCATCATCATCATCCGCTTCCTACTCCTCCTGCTCGCGTCTCTCCTCAGCCTCATCCTCCTCCTCCTCCTCATCCACCTCCTCCTCGTCCTCCTCCTCATCCTCAGCATATAATTATTAGCATTGCTGTGCGTAGTAGTACGGTTCGCTGTATAATTGATAGTCGTGGTAGTGTGATGATGAGCCTTAATACGAGGAGTCTTAAATGTATTGACAATATTATTAGTCGCCTGAACACATGTAGTGTCTTTAGTTGTGTTGAGATGTTTGTCGTAAGGTCATTCGTCGTATAGTTCACAATGGTGTGTTGCTTAGTGTTACTAGCCGGATGCGTCGTATTACTCATCGCACGAGTAGTGCTAACACTATGATTACTAGTGGTAGAATATGTAGTAGTGTTGCGAGTATTATCAGCACCAGTATGATTATTATGAACGATACTATTACGAGTGATCTTAGTAGTGGCACGAGCGTTGCTAATATTAGCCGCAATAGTAGTAGCAATAATAAAAAATAGTCGTCGAAAAAGTGGCAGTGGTAGCAATATAGTAGTAATTGCCGTAGTAGTAGTAGTAGTAACGGTAGCAGTAGTAGTAGTCGTCGTCGTCGTAGTACTAATACTAGTAGTAGTAGTAGCAGCAGCAGTAGTAGTAGTAGGAGCAGGAGTAGTAGTTGTAGCAGTAGTAATAGTTAGTCTTAGCAGTAGCAGCAGCAGCAGCAGCAGCAGCAGCAGCAGCAGTAGTAGTCGTAGTAGTAGTAGTAGTAGTAGTAGTAGTAGTAGTAGTAGTAGTAGTAGTAGTAGTAGTAGTAGTAGTAGTAGTAGTAGTAGTAGTAGTAGTAGTAGTAGTAGTAGTAGTAGTAGTAGTAGTAGTAGTAGTAGTAGTAGTAGTAGTAGTAGTAGTAGTAGTAGTGGCAGCAGTAGTAGTAGTAGTAGTAGTAGCAGCAGTAGTAGCAGTAGTAGTAGCAGTAGTAGTAGTCGTAGTAGTGGCAGCAGTAGTACAAGTACTAGTAGTGGTAGTACTAACACCAGTACTGCTAGTATTAATACGAGTCCGATGACTAGTCCGATTGGTAGTAGTAAGGTGAGTATTCGACTTGTTGTTAATCAGTATTATGATTAGTGTGATCAGTAGTAAGAGTAATATTACAAGATGATCAGTGATATTTGTAGTATGGTGAGTATGCGTCCTTTTATTTTGAATACTATTAGTATGACTACTAGTAACCAAGTTAGATGACGCAATCGTCGTCTTAATATGATTCGTCGCTTTCGTATGATGTATAATCGTACACGTAAAGTTATTAGTACTAATAGTTTTAGTATGTCGTCTTCGTCTTCGCAATATTCCTCTTAGAATTAATAGTTTTACTAGTTGTCTTCTTCCTCAACCTCCTCCAACTCCTCTTCCTCCTCCTCCTCCTCCTCCTCCTCCTCCACCCTCTCCTCCTCCTCCTGCTCCTCGCTTTCCCCTTCCACACCCTCATCCTCCTCCCCTCCTCCCCCAGCGGTCCCCCATCGCGTAGCCGCCCAGCGGGAAGCGGCTGCACCTCCCCCGGGGCCCCTCCCCGGAGTGGCCCCAGAGGTGCGCCGCGGCCCCTGCCGCGCCGCGCTGCGGCAGCAGCTCCTGCAAAGGGGGAGAGCTGATGCCCACGACTCGTCCTCGTTGTCTTCTTCTTACTCCTCCTCCTCCCCCTCCTCCTGACTCCTCCTCTTCCTCCTCCTCCTCCTTCTCGTCCTCCTCCTCCTCCTCCCCCTCCTCCCTCCTCCTCCTCCTCGTCCTCGTCCGCAGCCATTTTGGCCCAAGGATGTTTGCACGAGAAGGCTTCCACGCCCTCGTGCCTGACTGGGATAGCTCTGCTTCCCGAGCTTGCGTTCATCCTTCTTGCGAGGCCTGGTCCGCCCCAGCTCCTCGCGTGCAGCCGTGCATTGGGCGAGCACTGTCTTCGACAACGGGCCCTCTGAGGGTCATACTCTGTGCTGTCATTGTTTTGTGGGCGCCATGGCTCAGCCTTCTTGCCACCAGCAGCAGTGGATGGCACTTGCGAAACCATGGGTACGTCGATGGTGTTCCAATTCACAAGGTGAACGTCGGTGGAACCCTGCATAGGCAAAGTACTGTCGAGGAGCTCACCGTGGGGCCACGAAACGTGTGATGGGTGTTCGGAAACGTGTGCGGCGGTGCAATGCGAACGCAGCCAATAGGGCCCTCTGTGGAGCTAACTATGGGGCCACGAAACGTGTGAGAGGTGTGCCGAAACAGGTGCGGCGGTGCCATGCGCACGCAGCCACTCTCTTCGGTGGAGCACTCTCTGGGGCAATGAAACTTGTGAGGGGTGTGCCGAAACGGCCATGCGAATGCAGCCACTGGGGCCTTCGAAGGAACTGCCTGTGGGGCCACGAAACGTGTGAGAGGTTTGGCGAAACAGGTGTGGCAGTGCCATGCGAACGCAGCCACTGGGGCAATCGGTGGAACTCACCGTGGGGCCACGAAACGTGTGAGGGGTGTGCGGAAACGTGTGAGGCGGTGCCATGCGAACGCAGCAACTGGGGCCTTCGGTGGAGCTCACTATGGGGCCACGAAACGTGTGAGGGGTGTGCCGAAATGGGCGCGGCGGTGCCATGCGAACGCAGCAACTGGGGCCTTCGGTGGATCCCCGTGTGGGGCCACGCAACGCTGTACTGGGTGGAGGAGACGCATGCGAACGTCGCCTCTGGGGCCTTCGGTGAAGCTCCCTATGGGATCACGAAACGCGTGAGGGGTGTGCCGAAATATTCTTGCGAAGGGCAGAGGCATTGGAGAAGGGAGGAGGGGGAGGAGGAAGGAGACGCGGGGCGCTGTCTTTTCAAAACGAAAACCCAATACCACAGGATGGTTGAGAAAAAAACCCAGGGGCTTGGCCCGTACAGCCCAAAAACATAAATTCTCTCATTCCTCAAACCCGTGGACCGCGGGGCCGCGCAGGCCCTGTGTCAGACCTGGGGACCTGGGCAGTGAGCAGGACAGAGAAACCCGCGCACAGCCACGGACCCGTGCAAAATGGCAGAAGGAGCTCCCCAAGTTGGAGCAGATCCTCCTCCTCCTCCTCCTCCTCCTCCTCCTCCTCCTCCTCCTCCTCCTCCTCCTCCTCCTCCTCCTCCTCCTCCTCCTCCTTACAGCGCCCATTCTCCAGGTGGCCGAAGCTGGCCGCTGGCGCCGGCGGACCGTCGCCGGTGGGGGACAGCGCCGCCCAGAACGAGCCGTCGACGGGGTAGCCGCCGCGCGGGAATCGGCAGGCCCGGCCTCGTGCGGGGTGAGCGGAGGGCCAAAAGGCTGAACAAAGGCACTTCTGCAAGGCAGGCCCGCGAGCATTTCAGGGCGCTGAGCGTCACGCGGAGAGCATGCATCTGCTGTGCACCGCGAGGGCCACGCAACAGGATGTGACGGATGGTACGGCGTGATGTCGTGTGCCACGATGGTCGTGCTAATCGCATCACGCAACGTGCTTCAAAGGATGGAACAGCTCGGTTGGCCAATACGCTATGCCGTGACATGCTACCCTGTGTCACTTGGCGCTCTCAAACAGCATGGCGCGCCGTGTCAGCTTAAAGTACATCAATAACTGCGAGTGCACGAGTGTGCACGGCTAAGCGCGCACATACGCGTTCGCACATAACATCGGTACCAGAACTAACTTTGTTAAGTATGGCGGCTGTTTCTGCCAGGCGGCATCATGTAGCACCAAAATGCACCAATATCTCACTCTGGCGCGCGGGGAGAGACTTCATGCAGCTCTGAGCAAGACAGAGGCAAACAATGTGTAAGTAGCGATTCCCGAGAGATCACCAAGAAATCCGAAAGAAGCAGTGACGAAACCTGAAAAAAGTATTGAGACTCCACGGTGACAAAGCGCCCCCGAGGCAGCTACCCCGGGGGGACATCCTTAACACCGAAACTGAAACATATAACTATGTCCAGCGCGCGGTACCCAAAGGTAGAGACGTATAGTTGTCCTGTCAAAGTCATACGGTGGGCTGTAGACTCTGGAAGGACTCCAATCCAATGGGAGACCTATTGAAGGCCTGCGTCGTTCCTACGAGAGCGGCGCCCATTTCCCGCACCATGTTTGAACTCCCTTCTGGGCCTGGTCCAACGCGGTACGGTGCATAGCTTGTTGGCTCCGCGGGCCGAAAAGCTATGCACCAGACCGCTCCTGGGTCGAGAACCGACGACGCCTCGGGAGACGCCAACGCAGTACGGTGCAGACGTGTCTTCCGCGGATGACTGCCTCCTGCGGTTACAAGTGCTGCACGAGCATGCGTGTGTGTGCGCGTGTACGTTTGCCGACGGGTGAAGATGCAGACTCGGCTGCACGCAAGAGTGACCCAAGGCAAGAGTGTGACCTTCAGTGCGCGGCTTTACGGGGCCACGGTGGGGCCAGATTCAAGGTGCCAAGCGCACAGAAGGAGGGGGGGCCCTTCTGAGCCTACACCAGAGGTCAAACCCAGCGAAGGGCCATCCTCACACGCAGCCGAGCAGCCTGGCACGAGGACAGCAGGGCACCTCATGACCCAGCGAGTTTCGTGCGACTGGCCGGCAAGCGCCCCGAGGGCAGAAGCAGCTCGACTCCCCCCCTCTTTATTAGAAGGCAAAAAAAGTCCGCCCACAGAATAACCACCCCGACAAGCGAGGCCGTTTCGCAAACGCGCCCAGAGAAGGAATCGAACGGGGCAGGGCTGTTTAAGGAAAACCCAGGGCCGTTCAGTAAATGCCGATTGTCCGGTCCAGGTGGTTTTGCCTCCCTTGACCGAGGGCAGAAGCAGCTCGACCACCCCCCTCTTTATCCAGATTGGGGGGACCAGCTGCTCTTCGTCCCCGCTCACGCCCGCACGTCGGACCAATCGCAACCGACTGGCACCAGTTCCAGCCGACCTGGCCACTGCTCAACCAGCCGAAAAAGCGGCTGGTACCACTTACAACCAACCGTCGTGGGTCGACAATGCGATTCCATGAGTAAGCAATTTTGAAACGATTCGGACATCAAATGGACGTCTTCAGAGTACGCATTCTTTTTGGGAGTCAACATGAGTGCCCCGGTTGGAATTGGTAGCAAATCACTTCCTGGCATTTGGGAGTTGTGCTGGCTTGCAACAACGACTCCCCATCACCTCAAGACGACAACAAGTACCCAGCACGACAACATTTCTGCACAACACATACCCGCGCACCTTTCCCAACCTATCCAAATCCCGACGTTTCATCATCCTTATCATCGTCCATTCCATCCCTCCTCTTTTCTTGCATCCTCCCTCCTCCTCCTCCTCCTCCTCCTCCTCCTCCTCCTCCTCCTCCTCCTCCTCCTCCTCTTCCTCCTCCTCCTCCTCCTCCTCCTCCTCCTCCTCCTCCTCCTCCTCCTTCTCTTCCTCCTCATCTTCCTCGTGCCGCATTCCTCGTATTCCTCCTCCTCCTCATCATCATCCTCCTCATCCTCCTCTTCCTCCTCCTCCTCTTCCTTTTCTTGATATTTGTCATCCACCTCCTCTTCCTTATCTATGGATATTCCTTTTCCTCCGCTTTGTACTCCTCCTCCTCATCCTCCTCCTCTTCCTCGTCCTCCTCGTCCTCCTCCTCCTCATCCTCGTCCTCCTCCTCCTCTTCTTCTTGTTATGTTTACCATTAGTATCGTTATTGTTACTAGTATTCCTCCTCCTTCTCCACCTCCTCATCTTCCTCGTACCGCATTCTTCATATTCCTCCTCCTCCTTCTCTTCCTCTTCCTCCTCTTCCTCCTCCTCCTCCTCCTCTACCTCCTCCTCCTCCTCCTGCTCCTCCTCCTCATCATCATCATCCGCCTCCTCCTCCTCCTCCTCCTCCTCCTCCTCATCATCATCATCATCCTACCGCCAAACTGGCCCCAGGAGGTCGAGCATGGCTCAAGACAGCACCCGACAGACCTCCAAGAGGCTTCAGCAAAGTCTCAAAGTGGCCCCAGATTGATCAGCATGGACAAGATTTCCTGCGACAGCTTCTAGCCGACCAGGATTCAAAATACCCTCCAAGAGGCCTCAATACAGCCTCCGATCAAGAATGGACGGGTTGGTGGGGGTATGCGAAACCTTAAAACATTTATGCGTGTGTTTACGCGTGTGTTTGAACATGCCTTCGATAGGGGAGTGGGGAACGTGGCGGCGGCGGAAGGCAAGCTGACTCGTTCGGCAACCCTCTCCCTCCCCATAGGTTCGGGGGCTCCCTAAACCGCCGAAGGCAAAAAACGCTTCCATTGGAAGCGTCGCCCTCGGGGGGGTTGGGGAATTCCGCGCCCGCAAGAGAGGAGGCGGGGACCGAATGATTCGGCGGCGGCGGCGCAGGGTAAGGTGACTCGTTCGGCCACGCTGTCCCTCCCAATGGGTTCGGCTGATCCCCGAACCCCCGAGGGCACGAACCCCCCAGGAATCCTCAGGAAGAGGAGCAGGAATCCTTTGGGAATCCTCCAGACATCCTTCAGGAATTCTTCAGGAATCGTTCCGGAATCCTTCAGGAGGCCTCAGAAATCCTTCAAGGAACTCGCAGGAACCATGAGACATCTTCCAGGAAACCTGAAAATTCCTTCTGGAATCCTTCAGAAATCCTCAAGACTCCTCAGGAACCCTCAGGAATCGTTCAAAAATCTTTCAGGAATCCTCAACAGAAATCCTCTTGAATCCTTTGGAACCCGCAAAAACCCTTCGGGAATCACGCAGGAATATTTCAGGAATCCGCAGAAATCGCGCCGGAATCTTAAGGAATCCGTCAGGAAACCTGAAAAACCAGAATCCGTCAGAAATCCGCAGGAATCGTCAAGCTCAAGCATCCTTAGGAATCCTGAGGAATCCTCAGAAATGCTTAAGAAATCTTTCAAGAATCCTTCACAGGATCCTTTCACAGGATCCTCAAAAATCCTTCAGGGATCTTCAGAAATCCGTACGAATCATGGGAAAGCCGAAGGAATCCTTCCGAAGTCCCTGGAACTCCTTCCTCTAAGGCTAAAGAACCTCCAGAGAGCCGGTAATGAGCCTATAAGCCTCTAAGGAGCCTCTAAGGAACCTCCACGAAACCCTAAGGAGCTTCCACAACTGTAGTAATTGGTGCCACTCGGCTGGACTTGGTATTGAAATGGTTGGACTCCGCCCCAGTTGGTCCCCACCCCTAAAAACTCCTTTCGGGTTTGGGGATGTTCTACACCCCACCCCACCCCGCTACACCCCGTAGGCCCCCGCTGTCCCACAGCGCGTGCGCGCCACGCGCCCGTGGTCCCTGCGGGGGGCCGAGGCCTCGGGGCCCCTCGCCCGCCGGGCGCAGCCGCGTTCTCGCCGCGGCGTCCTGCGCTCGCAGCGGTTCGCTTGTGCTCGGGGCGTCCACGAAGCCCTGGCTCCTGTTCCTCCTGTTCCTCCTCCTCCTCCTCTTCCTCCTCCTCCTCCTCCTCCTCCTCCTCCTCCTCCTCCTTTTCCTAATCCTCCTCCTCCTTTTCCTTTTCCTCCTCCACCTCCTCCCCCTCTGATTATTATCCTTATTCGTATTAGTATGATTTATTCGTTGTCTGATTGGTATTACTCATATTCGTCGTACTCTTAAAATGCGTCGTATGACCAGTTTTAATAGGAATATGAGTATGATTTATTATTGCTATTATTCGCAATACTATTCGTGATAGTCTTCTTGAAGTTTTAGTAGTGACACCCATATTATATGTGTTAGTATCTTCGCTTCCGCATTATTTATATCAATATGATCTCTGAACCTTAGATTGTTATTCGTCACAATCTTATTGCGCGTATCAATATTATGTGTGTTAGTATGGTTCGTCCTCTTCTTGTTCAGATTATTCGTAGTGTTTTCAGTATTCGTCTTAGTCGTACGATCGATCGTTTCATTATTATGACTCGCCCTCTTACGGTTAGTATCATGCGTATTCGTGATAATCCTCTTCTTATGTATAGTAATATTACTATTGTAAATACGAATGATAATAATATCACATCAGCATTAGTCTTCTTAGCTGCTTCGTAGAACTATGTATGGCTTTCCTTTTGTATATAACCATGGTTACACGATTCTGAATATCATTCGTAGCGTTATGAATATTACTAGTATTATTATGCGTGTCAGCAGTATTACTCGTTTTGACATGGATAATATTTCAATATTAGTATGTTGCTTGGTATGTACACCATGAATGTTCATACTCTCATATTCACTAGTAGTACGATTAAGGTTAGCACTCGTCATGCGCATACTTCTTCTCAGTTGTATATGTATCCGCATTCTGATTAGTATGAGTACGACTGTTCTGACTAGTCTTGGTACAACTCGTCTCTTGGTATGCTTCGCTTTGTTCTTCGAACAGTTAAGATCATCACTGAAATTGCTATCGGTGTGCTTCTTCCTCTTCTTGTAAGTAATAAACGTTTCATCGTTGTTACTTGCATTATCATTACTAATATGATTATCATTATTCCTCCTCCTTTTCCTCCTCCTTTTCCTCCTCCTCCACCTCCTTCTCCTCCTCCTCCTCCTCGTCCTGGGCCTCTTCTTTTTGCCTCCGCGGGCAGCACCGCAGACGCAGACTGGTGCAGTCAGGGCCGCTCGCAACCCTCCTCCTCCTCCCCATCCTCCTCCTCCTCCTCCTCATCCTCCTCCTCCTCCTCCTCCTCCTCCTCCTCCTCCTCCTCCCCATCCTCCTTCTCCTCCTCCTCCTCCTCCTGGTTTTCTCCTCCTCCTCCTTTTCCTCTCTCTCTTCCTCCTCCTCTTCCTCCGTCTCCTCCTCATCATCATCGTCCTCCTCATCATCATCATCAATCATCATCATCATCCATCATCATCATCAGCATCATCATCATCATCATCATCATCATCATCATCATCATCATCATCATCATCATCATCATCATCATCATCATCATCATCATCATCATCATCTTCCTCCTGCTCCTCCTCCGCTTCTTCCTCCTCCTCCTCCTCATCCTCCTCTTCCTTGTAATTATCCTCATCCTCATCCGCCTTCTCCTTCTCCTCCTCCCCCTCCCCCTCCTCCGCCTCCGCCTCCGCCTCCGCCTCCGCCTCCTCCTCCTCCTCATCCTCCTCCTGCTTACGTAATCCTCGACCTTAGCACCTGCCCAACTTTAGAACAAGAGTCCACCAGGGTCAGGCGCATCGGCCGACAATGCCCACAGAGCCACAAAGGAGGGGGGCGCGCCCACAACACCCCCGTCAGGCTCACGCGCCCCCGCCCGAAGCAACTAGCGGGAAAGGAAAGGGGGAGGAGAGGCGAAGGAGAGGGATCTGAGAGACGCGCAGCAAGCTGGACGTAGCCAAGCCGGCTACGGGGGAGGGGAGGCAGAAGAGAGAGGAGACGGAGCGGAGGGAGGGGAGCCTCAGCCCGCGCGCCAGGGGCGCACGGCCCCAGAGCTGGCGGCGAGCAGGGCCGCGGCCACACCTCGCTGGAGACCCACAGCCAAGCGGCACCGCAAGTCGGCCAGCTGGTCGCCGCGGCGCGGGCCATCTGGCAGGGCGGCGCGTGCCCACGAGCGGAGCTCGTGCCCTCATCGGCCGCCTGCCTCGAGCACGGCCAGCAGGAGCTGTCCACCGGGGCAGCGCGTGTGTTTGGTGCGCTCCCGGCCTGCAGCTGTCAAAGCTGGGCGACGGGCACGGGCCTGTGCCGCGGCGGCATCGGCCGAAGTCGGTTCCACGACCGACACGTCTATGAACAGCCGCCCCTGGCCGGCCCGGTCTCTGGGCACGACTACTTCCAGCACCGCTCGCTCCATGCCCCGCTGGCCTGGCCGGTCCCAGCTAGGCACGCGCTGTCCGGTCAGTCTCAGGATCCACGCGCTCCTGGCACCAGTCAGCCAACTCGTCCCAGCAGTACATGTGACGTCTAGAAAGCCTGGGCCCGTCTCGCAGCAAACGGCATGGTTGCCCCAACGATGTCGCGAGGTACACCCACCAGTTCGGCGGGTCCCGCGGGCCCGGAGCATGCTCGGCAGCGCGCCCTGTCCAGCCTGATCTTCGAAGAAAAGGCGCCGCCGCAGGCACACGCAGGACCCGTCGTCCGACATCACATTACGATCACGACGGGTCGCTTGGAGCCACACTCCTCCCCCTCCTCCTCCTCCTCCTCCTCCTCCTCCTCCTCCTCCTCCTCCTCCTCCTCCCTCCCTCCCTCCCTCCCTCCCTCCCTCCCTCCCCTCCCCTCCCTCCCCTCCCCCCCCTCCCCTCCCTCCTTCCTCCCTCCCTCCTCCCTCCTCCCCCCTCCCCCCCCTTCTCAATCCTCCCTGCTCCCTCCTGCCTCCTCCTTCCTCCCTCCTCCCTCCTCCCTCCTCCCTCGTCCGTAGCCACTTTGGCTCAAGGCGTGGGCTTGAGCCGACGGAGACATTTCCCGTCGGTGCGTTTTGGTTTGTGGCGCCCCCAGCCCGACCAGCAGCCCGCGCCCAGGGCGTCGTTTCCCGAGCGACCCCGACCTGCCATGGCTTACGAGATGCCACCGGCGTTGGCCCCGCGGCTGGCCCCGAGGCCCGAGGCGGCAGCGCTCTGCCGCCTGGGCTATGCAGCCCGGCGCAGAAGGCCAATCCGGGGCGCCGATGTCGCCACCCTGGCGCTGCGCCTTCGCGCCGCCCTTCGGCCTGCCGCTGGTGCTGCTCCCCAGCGACCCGCTCAGCGACCAGTTCATGCAGATCCTCTACCTGACGTTGTTCTCCGGACGACCGGGCAGCCACGTGATGGCGATGCTCTTCGGCCAGGTGACGGAGATGCCTTATACTCTCGTGTCCAAGAAGGGGAGCCTCCTGCTGCTGCCGCCGGGCTGCAGCCGCTGCCCCAGGACAAGCCGACCATGGAGATGCAGTTGCAGCCACTGCTTGCCGCTGCCATTCGTGTTCCAAGACCGCTCACACTGCACGTCCCCGCGCACACGCCGGACGAGCAGGACGCCGCTGGCCGGTGCCAGGAGGAGCCGCCGCAAGTGCTGCCGCGCAGCAGCTGGGCGCAGGGCACGCTGCCCGCGCGCCGGCCACAGCGACGGTGCAGCACGGCTCCCACCAGGCACCTGGCGCGCCGCGCGATGGGAGGATGGCAGGTCGCCTCCTACTCCCAGCCGCGGCAGCGATCGGTGAGACGCTGGGCTGGGCGCAGGGCACTGACGCCCCGCCGCCGCAGCCCCAGCAACGGCTTGAACGACGACGGCAGCGCCGGAGCAGGCGCGACAGACGACTCCAGCGAGATCGGCGAGAGCGAGCTGCAGGAGCAGGCCAAGGTCCCGGACGACCTCGACGAGGACGGCGTGGACGCGGCTAGCCTGCTGCAGCCTGACCAGGAGCAGGCGCCGTGCTCCAGCCCCCGCGCGGCGGGCGGCGAGGGCCCCGGCCTCCCGCAGCCTGTGGGAGCTCAGGTCCATTTGACTGGGCTCAGAGAGGCCACTGCCTTCAACGGAATGTCGGCCGTGATCCTGACCGTGGTCCCCGCCAAGGCGATGTACCAGGTGCGTATGGATGACGGCTCGATCCGGACAGTCAGGGCCGTGAACGTCCGCTCGGGACCAGGATCTGCACAGGGTGGCGATGAAGCCGCAGACGTGTGCCACACCATCGACGAGGTGGACATCAGCTCTGGCGCCCGAGGCGGCGAGGCCAAGGATGGTCTGCTGCCCTCCGAGCCCGCGGCGAGGTCCACCACCGTCTCGCAGGCGGTCTGCGGCGCCCTCGACGACGAGGCCATGAGCAGCCCGGCCTCCGCCCCGGCCCACGTCGTTCAAGGGCGGGTGAGCATGTGCATTGCAGAGGCTGACTTGCTCGACGCCGCCGTTCCTCCGGTCCGCTGTGCCGACTCGGTGATTGAGGCGAGGCTCGCCCATCGCCCGCCCCCGTGCTCTGGGATTTCCCACGATTTTCTTCTGTGCCGCATCTACACCAGATCGGCGCACGGTCGCTCTGGATGGCGCTGAGCGCGAGTGTTGTGCCGCGCCGTCCAGGCGGTCCTGGCCCGAAGGAGGTCCGGCCGCCTCGCATCCAATGATCTCACACGTTGCCTCGCAGGAGTCCCCTCGAGGCTCTCGCTGCCGTGCCTGCCGTCCAGCAGGCGTGGCGCCACAGGCCGTGCCTGCCGTCCAGCAGGAGTGCCGCCGCCGCTCGAGCTGGCCCGCCTACGCGCGGGACAGCCTGGGCCGACCGAATCTTTGCCTCGCAGGTGTCCCCTCGAGGCTCTCGCTGCCGTGCCTGCCGTCCAGCAGGCGTGGCGCCACAGGCCGTGCCTGCCGTCCAGCAGGAGTGCCGCCGCCGCGCGGGCTGGCCCGCCTACGCGCGGGACAGCCTGGGCCGACCAAATCTTCGGACGGGCCTGAGAAGGAATCGGGCCTTCCATACCCTCAACCTGGCTACAGGCCAGGTTCGAGCCAGCCCATTACAAGGGCCACTGCACGTCGTCATCGACAAGACGCAGAGTTCCACCACCACACCTCCTCCCTCCCTCCTCCCTCCTCCCTCCTCCCTCCTCCCTCCTCCCTCCGCCTCCTTATCCTCATCCTCCTCCTCCTCCTCCCTCCTCCCTCCTCCTCCTCCTCCTCCTCCCTCCTCCCTCCCTCCCTCCTCCCTCCCTCCCTCCCTCCCTCCCTCCCTCCCCTCCCTCCCTCCTCCCTCCCTCCCTCCCTCTCCTCCTCCTCCTCCCCTCCTCCTCCTTCCTCCTCCTCCTCCTCTCCTCCTCCTCCTCCTCCTCCTCCTCCTCTCCTCCTCCTCCTCCTTTCCTCCTCCCTCCTCCTCCTCCTCCTCCTCCTCCTCCTCTCATCATCATCATCATCATCATCATCATCATCATCATCATCATCATCATCATCATCATCATCATCATCATCATCATCATCATCTCATCATCATCATCATCATCATCATCATCATCATCATCATCATCATCATCATCATCATCATCATCATCATCATCATCATCATCATCATCCTTCCCCTCCCCCTCCCCCTCCCCTCCCCCTCCCCCTCCTCCTCCCCTCCCCCTCCTCCCCTCCCCCTCCTCCTCCTCCTCCTCCTCCTCCTCCTCCTCCTCCTCCTTCTTCTCCCCTTGCCATCCTATTCCTCCTGCTTCTCCCCTTCTCCCTCAGGAGGGGAAACCCTCCATCGCATGGGATGGTCCTGCGGGTGCCTGGGGGGGCCGTGAGCGGACACGCATTTGTGCAGCCAGACCTGGCGCGCATCGGCAGGGCGGCGAGCTGGCCTCTCGGGCAAGTCGCCTCCAGGGCTGGGTCTAAGAAACAAGCGGGGCCTACGGCGCCAGGGCCGCACCAGCCCTTCCCTCCCCCTCCCCGCCTTCTGATGTAGAGGGCAGAAAATCCACCCCCATAATGATCATCCTGACACGCGAAGCCGTTTAGCAAACGCACCCACGGAAGGAACTGGACAGTGCAGGGCTGTTTAGTAAACGCCCAAGGCCGTTTAGCAAACGCCGATTGTCGGGTCCGGGTGGTTTTTCCTCCCTTGGTGATAGTCTCTTCATCAATCCCTGCTCCTTCTGGCTGTGCACTCCACTCCCATGCCTTTTTTGTTCCACAATGGCAGCTCAAAGCGGGCTGCTGCCTCCCCCACACACACACACACACGAATCGAAAAACGAGGCCACGTCGACATAGATGCTTTCAACATGAGTGCTTTGACGTCGACCATGCAGAACGCGTGGCAGGCACGGGACGCAGCGCAGATCGCGCCCGCCAGAGACAACTGTCGCTCTCGCCTCGGCGCCGCCAGGACGCTTTCTGCGAGTTGCGTTCCAGCTGGGGCGCGCCGCACCACTTTCGCCCACCAAATCCTCAGAAGGGTCACGCGCGAGAGAGCGAACTGTCACTCTCGCCCCAGAGTCGCGCGACGCACTCTTCGCTGTTCCACCCTACTGGGAGCTGGACCGCACGCAAAAAAGCGCCATGCTGTCACCGCAGCAGGGCTTCGATCATCCCCCCGTAAAAGCGCGTGCCTGCCTGGGCGCGGCGACTGCTTTTCCCTCGCGGAGTCGTCGGAGACGGGGTCGCGCGCCAGCGGACGAAATCTTGGGTTCGCCTCGGAGCCCTGGAGTATCCTTCAACTGTGCTATGCTGCTTGGGCGCAGTGCGACGTTTGCTTTGCGAAGTCCTCCGAGGCGGGAGCGAGCGCCTTCCATTCGCCAGGCGGTGGCAAACGCTGGCCCTAACTTCCATACGCGTCGTTACTTGTTGTCTGATGAACTGGGTGGGGCCGCTGGCTGGCTCGACCTAGCTAGCTTGACTCCTATTCATAATGGTTTTCCTCCTCCTTCCTCTGCATGCTCCTCCTCATCCTCCTTGTGATCTTGCATTGTGACTCTTTTGTTAGCTCGCTGTCTCTCTCTCTCTCTCTCTCTCCGGCGGGAGAACCCCCAATCCCGCTGGACCATTCTGGAACATAAACCACCTCATCTTCCTCCCCCTCATCGTCATCTTGATCCCCTTCTCCTCCTCCAACTTCTCCTCCTTGCCGTCGTCAGCATCATCAGCATCATCAGCATCAGCAGCATCATCATCATCATCATCATCATCATCATCAGCAGCAGCAGCAGCATCATCATCATTATCCTCCTCATCCTCCTCATCATCAGCATCATTATCATCGTCATTAGCAGCGCCATGTTCATCATCATCATCACCACCACCATGTATTATCCTTCAGACTGGAATTTGCAACAGCTTCAGGAACGGAGGGAAACATCAACGCGGGCAACTCACCTAAGCTCCGTGCACGTTCGCCTTAAGAGTCTACACCAGCTTCAAGAATGAAGGGAGTGAAACATTTAGCTCTCGCCGTAGCGCCGCGCACTTTCGCCTGAAAAGGCCAGTCACAGTTGCAAAAGTTGAGGGCGGTTCCTTGCCAAAATGGGGGTCTTCGCCTAGCGCCGCGCATATCCATCGTAGAAGTGTACAACAGCTTCAGAGATGTTCGAGTCGGGCTCTCGCCTTAGCGCCGCGCACATTCGTTTTCAAAGCCTGCAGCAGTTTGACGGATGGAGGATAGCTCCTTTCAGGGTGTGATTGCTGCGTGAGGCTATGCAAAGTCTGTTTTCAACAATTCAAACCCAGACCTCTGGCGGCAAAATGTTGCACTTTTTGGGTGCTGGAGGGTTCCCGACCTGCCCTGCCACTGGTGCCGCACAGAGCCTGGGGCTCCAGCAGAGGTGGGCCCATTGCCCTCCAGAGCGCTGGCGCTCCACGTAGCTCCTAGAAACAAAGCAGACAAGAGAGGAGGAGGAGGAGGAGGAGGAGGAGAAAGACTGTCTAAGACGACGAAGACCAAATGCAGCACAATGATTTGGACGCCCGAGATTGGTATGGAAAACATGGGCACAATGGCCAACAACAAATGTGGTCCCCAACCAAAAAGCGGCCGGTGTTGGGCAGGCGGCCTTCGCAATCCGCAGCGACGCCGACAGCGAGTCCTGCTCAAAAGGAACGAAGATCTTCCGTCGGTCTCTGTGCCCCTTCTTGCCCTACCCGTCTCGATCGCCCCGAAATGAGACTGCCTGGCTCTCTCCCTCTCTCTCTCTCTCTCGACGAGCGCGTTCCACTACTCGCAAAGTAGCTGCTCGCAAATGGCCTGGTTCCGCCGCGGGGGATCTCCGACAAATTACATCGAGGGTAACATTAGTTTTTCGTGCGTTTGCGAACGGGCACTTTGCGAGTGGTGGAACGCGCCTCGTGACTCTCATGAAATTGGCACCAACACCAACACAGGGGGTTGCCTCCACAGGGGGAAGATGATCCTCGATTTCGGTGTTGGTGGTAACATTTCGGTCACTTTGGAAGCCAGCCAGAATATTACCACCATCACCGAGATCGGGATCCTCTTCCCTTGGTGTATGCACACCGCCGATATTGGTGTTGGTGTCAATCTCTAGGCCTGCGAATTCCCAGGGGGGAACCGGCAACCCCCGCCGTGGCCGCTCCTGCGCACTGCGGGCTGCCGCCCAGCGGCCAGCCCCGCTCGTCGCGGGCCGCCCCTGGCCGCCGCCGCGGGGCGCCGGGCGCGAGGCCGGGGCGCCGCGGGGCAGCGCTGCGGGGAGCGGATGCTTCGTCGCGCTCGTCCTCCGCCTGCTCCCGTGGCCCCCTGTACAGCCTTCGGTGGCAGCTCATGGGAGCCTCCCATACCATCTTGTCGGCTGTTGCGAAACGACGCGAATCGACGCGAAGTCGACGCTGATCGGCGCTAAATCGACGCTGATCGACGCTAGCCGACGCTAAATCGGGCGCTACCTCGTCGACTCCCAGACGCTAATCGACGCTAACCGACGCTTAAGACGGAATGAAGAGGGTGCACCAGGCTCCCATGACTTGCTACCGAATACAGCCCCCCAGAAGCCCCCTCCTCCCCCTGGTCGTGAAGAGCCCCATCACGAAGCTATCCCATCTCACCCCGCAGAGAGACGCCCACCAGTCGGTGAACCATGAAGAGCCAACTGGGTGCATTTCTGTGGAAGGCTGAGGAGGGGCCGCGGGCCACAGAGCCGAGAGCTTCCAAGTCGACTCCTGAGCCCCACCCCACAGCCGAACACCACGAGGATCCACAGGGCCATGGGCCCTGGCTTTCACGCCAGCGGGCCGCTGCGGCACGCAACTGACCGGGGCCAGGGGCCACAAGCCGTCCGAGCGCGTTGGGGCCGCTCCGGAGTGGACGCAGGACGGCCAGCGAGCGGCCCAAGACAAGTCCGAGGACCCCGCAGACGCCCCGAGGTGAAGGGGACTTTTTTGGTCTGCGGGTCGAGAGCGAGCCTCTTCCGGGTAAGAGCTAGGCGGGCCGCGCAAAGCACTAATTGGGGAGACAGGGCGCGGGCGGGCGGGGCCTCAGGCGGCCGGAGGGCGCGGGGTGCAGGCGGTGCTGAAGAGCTTGCACAGGAGAAGGTACGCAAGGGGTGAAGGGGACAGAAAGCACTTAATTCTCTTGCACAGCTGTGTTCTAGAGCTCGGACCTCTTTATTTTCTTTCGTCGTCGTCGTTCGTGCGTTCGTCGTTCGTCTTCCCCCCCCCGGCCACAGAAGGAAACTCCTGGAGGAAGGAGGCGACCGCCTCCTGTCCCTCGCAGCTCCTTGGTGCAAGAGCCAGGGCACGCGTGCCACTTGTACTTATGAGACGCGAGGCCGTTGGCTCATCAGTTTCGTTGGGCCCTGGTGGAGCTGTCAGTGTGTCTCTCGAGGCGATGCTGGGCTTTCCTGGCGCCAACTTCGGGCCGCGCTTAAACCATGGTAAGATCCATCGAGATCTCGTTGGGCAGTGTTGGGGTGTCTGGGGATTCGCCTGAGGGGTGCGGGGGTTATCTTTGGGCGGTCTTTTTTTTACAATGCGAGGGCTCAGAAGGCACGAGTGATAATATCGGGCATGTACACTCATGCTGAAACAGATACGTGGCCAGATCGGACAGGCACACGCATAACTGATTCATGCCGCTTCGCAAGTGTGTTATCTACAAGATCCCGTACAATTTGCAGGGCAAGATGCTGTTAAATACCGCTGTCATCCTCACACCTTGTTCTGCTCGTTGACTACATGAGACCGATCGCCTCGGAGGCGATCGCATCCGATGAGGAGCCTTTCGACAGCGCCATTGTCTTCTTGCAGCCCTCCCCTGGCGTAGCCGCGTCGACGTGATCATCTTCTCCAAGTAATCCTCCGACAACGGCGCCGGCAAGTCCCAAGTGCTTGACGTAGAAATTCAAGTACTTGATGCCCTCGTGCGTGTGGCCGTGCGCGACTTTTAGTTCCAGGGGGCCAAACTTCGTCCAGCTCGATATCTGGAACGTCCCCTCGCGCGCCTCCCTGGTGGTGAAGGTGATCCCGCCGGCACGCACCTTGTCCGCCCATGCCCCTGTGATGTTGAGCATCCGGAAATACATGTCCGCGCAGGAACCACCAAGCTGGCGCGCGTCTGCCTCGACGGTCAGAAGCGAGTCGTCGGCAGAGCTTCCACGCAGGATCTGCACCAGCACGACCTTCCCAGGCTTCATCAAGTCGAAACGTTCCCCGTGGATGTTCACCAAATGCGGATCGCCAGTGGCAGATGCCGCAGCCGGGGTTGGCGCCGGCGTCGGCACCTGAATATTGGTGAGATCGACACCGCTAGTGTCACCGCCCACAGCGTTGTCTCCCCATGCAACAGCCGTGCCGTCGTTCTTGCGAGCCACACACGCTTTGTGGCCACACATCGCATCCGCTACATTGGTGAGACCACTGGGAGCGATACCGCCATTACCGCTGGCTCCCCATGCAACAACCGTGCCGTCGTTGTTGCGAGCCACACACGCACCGTCCCCACACATCGCATCCACGACATTGGTGAGACCACCGGGAGCGTTACCGCCACGACCGCTCTCTCCCCATACAACAACCGTGCCGTCGTTCTTGCGAGCCACACACGCGCTCGTGCCACACATCGCATCCGCTACATTGGTGAGATCGACACCGCTAGTGTCACCGCCACAACAGTAGCGTCCCCATGCAACAACCGTGCCGTCGTTCTTGCGAGCCACACACGCCCACCCGCCACACATCGCATCCACTACATTGGTGAGACCACCGGGAGCGTTATCGCCATTACCGCTGTCTCCCCATGCAACAACCGTGCCGTCGTTCTTGCGAACCACACACGCTCTGTGGCCACACATCGCATCCACTACATTGGTGAGACCACCGGGAGCGTTACCGCCATATTGGCTCGTTCCCCATGCAACAACCGTGCCGTCGTTCCTGCGAGCAATACACACCCACATGCCACACATCGCATCCGCTACATTGGTGAGATCGACACCGCTAGTGTCACCGCCACAACAGTCGCGTCCCCATGCAACAACCGTTCCGTCGTGTTTGCGAGCCACACACGCGCTCCCGCCACACATCGCATCCGCTACATTGGTGAGACCACCGGGAGCGTTACCGCCACGACCGCTGGTTCCCCATGCAACAACCGTGCCGTCGTTCTTGCGAGCCACACACGCCTCCCAGCCACACATCGCAGACGCTACATTGGTGAGACCACCGGGAGCGTCACCGCCTTTAGAGCTGTCTCCCCATGCAACAACCGTGCCGTCGCTCTTGCGAGCCACACACGCATGCCCGCCACACATCGCAAGGTGTCCAGTCCAGAACGTCGTCGGGCTGGGCGTCGGGCTGGGCGTCGGGCTGGGCGTCGGGCTGGCCGTCGGGCTGGGCGTCGGGTTGGGCGTCGGGGAGGCCGTCGGGCTGGGCGTCGGCGCCTGAGTGCAGGTGACTGATCCCAAAGCGATGATACCGGTATTGGTCTCGTCGAGGCCCAAGATGTCACCGTCCTGGAAAGCAACATTCTCTGTTGCCTTTTCGCCCTGCGCCAACGACCTGATGAGGTTTCCATTCAAATACAGATTAACACGTCCGTGTCCAAGGACTGGATTGCCGAAGACGACTGTAGCAGTTCCCGATCCGCTGAGCGTCGTTGTAGTAGACCATACAGGGGCGTTCGGAATCCACCCGCACCATTCATATTCATTCGAGCAAGGCCCCATTTCCGGGGCGGGGAAGTTGGTCCAGGCAGATGTGCACGTGGCGGTTGCGGTAGTCACGCCGGCAGCAGCCTCAGACTCGCCGTCTCGGAGACGAAGGGCGCGCGTCGAGGGAGCGAGCACCACCACCAGGAAAGCGGCCCATGATGCCTTCTGGGATGCCGCCATCCCGACAGCTTGCCTTGGCCAAAAGAGGTAGACGAGTATGTTGCAGAAGTGGGAAACCTAGTTTCCAGGAAGCAAGTGAAGGTTGCTGGATGCTCTGTGAGCCAGAACACTTGAGCCAAAATGGCTACGGATTATCTTTGGGCGGTCTTGGAGCTTTCTCGGGTCTTGCAAGCAATATCAAACCATACATCCCCAGGACGAACGTTTTTTCCTCTTGGGCCGGGAACGACGGCTTGAAGTCTTGAGCAGACGCGCGTGAGATAACCGCCGTCGGATCCCGTGAAGTTCGCGCGGATCCAATTGTGGCTTTGGCGTCTGCTTCGGTGGATCCGATTTCCGTCCGCGCGGATCCGATTTCGGATTTGCTAGATCCGTTTTCGGTTTTTTTTCAAGGGGATCCGACTTTTACCCCGCCTTAAAAATTACATTATTACATTAAAACGGGGAACGGGAAGAAATCGGATCCGCGGACACCCGAACCCGCCCGTGTTAAGATTATACGGGAGAAGGGGGTTCGGTCATTAACTTCCAACTCACCATCGCCATTTGCACCTCAAAAAGGAAAATCTTTCGTCCTGCGTAAGTAGTGCGAACTTCTTGGGACCTGTTGGGGTTGCCTGGGGACTCTGGCGACCCTCAGACGTCTCCAGGGCCCATGTTGAAGCCATCATCAGCTGAGGTATCGGGAGCATCCAAAATTCTATCAACACCCACTTGGATTCGCCTTGGGAGTCCTCGTAACTTATGATTCGCCCCCCTCTGCATGTCGTCATGCGACTCTGTCCCTCCCTTCAGGAGCAGACCCTCCCGCGAAACGGTCACGAACAAGACTGCAGGCATCTTTCTGGAAGAAATCCAATGGTGGCAGGTCGTGTATTTGGGCCTCCTGGGCAAACGATCCTCTTTCTCTCTCTCTCTCTCTCTCTCTCTTTTTCTGGCTGTCTCTCTCTCTCTCTCTCTCTCTTTCTCTCTCTCTCTCTCTCTCTCTCTCTCTCTCTCTCTCTCTATATATATATATGTACATATGTTTAGATCCATGTATGTATGTATATCTCTCTATGTCCCTCCCTTCCTTCCTCCCTCTTTGTCATACATACGCATACACATATCCATACGTACATGAATGCATAGATGCCTGCAGAACTACATGTATACAGATATGTGATAATAACATAACATAACGTAACGCATCATAACATTATATATCATAACATAGCACAGCATAGCATAGCATAACATAATATATCATAGCATACCAGAACCTAATATGTGATGCCTACAGACATACTACATGTAGAGAGAGATGGAGACCGAGGGATGCCTCCCTGTGTCTCTCTTCGCTGTCTCTCTCTCTCTCTCTCTCTCGTTCTCTCTCTCTCTCTCTCTGTGTCCCTGTCTTCTCCACCGGATATCTGCACATTTCGAAAGCTGGAGTTGTTCCCCAAACAGTGCCAGCACGTAGGAGTTCTTACTTCTTTGTCTACGGAACTGGGCCTGCCCGTCGGTATGGCGGCTGTGCGGTCGCCGTCGCCGCCCGGCCGTCGCCTCGTCGCCGCCCGCCCTGCGGGCCAGCCCGTCGGGCTGGCGGCTGTGCGGTCGCCGTCGCCGCCCCGTTGCCGCCTGCCGTCTCGGCGGCGGCGGGGGTCTGTCGCCTACGTGGTCGCCGTCGCCGCCCCGTCGCCGCCTCGTCGCCGCCCGTCCTCCTCCTCCTCCTCCTCCTCCTCCTCCTCCTCCTCCTCCTCCTCCTACCACCTCCTCCTCCTCCTCCTACCACCTCCTCCTCCTCCTCCTCCTCCTCCTCCTCCTCCTCCTCCTCCTCCCTCTCCTCCTACCACTCGTCTGGGCCTCACATAGATTCTCCTTTCTACATGAAAATTAGGACCTACCCCCCTCCCCCCCCGGGGGTCAACGGTTCACCTTTTCGTACTGCAATTTACACCTGGTTCTGCCCCATCAAATATGATCCCAGGCAGGCCGATGTCGACACCCCACGTCATCCTCTGCAAAAAGCACTCCGCGCACACTGGCCGATCAAATACCAAGAGTTTTCAAGAATCCCGTGCACAGAAATTGGGACGAAGTGCAGACGCGCCCAATAGAGAGACATAGAAGGGGCACACGAAAGCTTCCAAGAGCACCAGAGGCACTGCTTCGGACTCCGACGGGGCAGGGTTGATGAAAGTCATGCTTTGCCTGACCGATGCCTTCCGTTCCGCCGTCGAGGAGCTTCTAGAAGAAGAGAAAATGGCATAAACATAAACTGTTGGCGCTCCGCGCGGATTTCTTGGATCTGCCCTGGAACCTCCTCCCTGGCGCGCGGAGCGCGCCAGGGGCGGCGCCAGAGGCGCCGCCAGGGTGGTGCCAGCGCCGATCCGAGAAACCCGCGCGGACCTCCGAGTTTTTATGTTTATGTCATTGTTCGTTTACCTTTTCTTCATGAGGCCCATGCCCGACATGCCGCCGCTTTATCCCCGACGGCAGCACGACGACAGTGCCCGCTGCGTGTGCCACAAGCGGCCCGCGCCAGCGTCAGAACGCAGGCGCGGGCACGTCGCCGCCGCAAGATGGCCCTTCGGACGACGGGGGGCGGGGGGAGGTGTAAGTCGGGCACGTCCCTCTACAGGGGGAATATTCAAAACTACTGAAAAAAGTCTGGGGACGATTTTGCGACTGCTTTTCAATATTTTGTTTAGCATGTGTGGGGTACGTTTTATTTTTCCCACAAAAGAATCCGCCTGTAGGGGGGCATGCCCAGCCTAAGTGGAGGCTTACAGAAGCAAGGGACAGTTAAGACTAGAGACCAAGCTGCCATCTCGGGGGAACGGACATGTACATAAACATACAAACTCGGAGGTCCGCGCGGACCTCCGAGTTGTTATGTTCATGTCATTGTTCGTTCCCCTACTTCTGGCGGATGGAACACAGCATCGTGTCTGGGGGGGCGGGCTGTTGGGCCGCAGTCGAGACGAAGAACACGGACAACACCGTGAGCAGTCGGGATCCTACCCTACAGGCCACTAGCTACACCTACGGCCCCAAGGACAAGGCGGACCCAAAAAACGCCAGCAACCAGATGCAGCCCTTGCCGACAGTGCCGCGCGAATAGGACGCTGTCCTCTGTGAAGCGGGCCAGCCCGCCACCAGGCCCTGATGCCCTGCAGGTTGGGGCCCGGACGCTACCACTTTCAGGGTCGACGCCAGTCGGTGCTGTGTGTGAGCTGCCGCCGTCCGCGTCACAGGGCTTTCGGCGGGCCGTGGCTTCGTGTCCGCGCCCGCTGCTGCGGACGCCGCCTCCGCCCATTTCAGCGTTGTGTTCTGGGCGCACCTCCAGGCTTCGCTGGCTTGGAAACTGGCAGGGGGCTGGCGCCGCGGGCTCCGGGACACGCCCTCGTATGCGCTCTGTCGGTTCAGGCAGGGGCCGCCGCCAATAGATTTCTTGCCTGTTGCGCCGCTTCTTCGATCATTCGCGCCCTGCCAGGGTCGCTCGGGGTAGGTGGGGATCCCCCCGCGTCCCTGCCGCGCTCAGCGTCGGTGCCGGCGGGTGCTGCTCGCGCGCTCGACTGGTCGGACGGAGGGTGGGGGCCAGGGGCAAGCACCTGCCCTTCCCTCTGGGCGGGAGTCGACGGCCCCCTGCTTGGCGCCTGCGCGACAGCCCAGCGTCGGCGCTGGTGGCTGTCCGGGGAAGAGGCCCCCTGCTCGGCCTCCGGCAACCATGGCGCACACGCCGCCGCCGGGGCTCGACGCGTTCGTCGGGTCCGCCCTCGGCGCTGGAGGACGGCGCGGTCGTCGGACCGTCGACCACGGCTGCCGTGCCGCCGAGGCCCCAGCCTCTGGCGTACGGGGCACCTGTGAAGTGCTGCGCGGTGCGCAGCAGGAGGCGACCAAAGCAGGGCCGAGGGGCATGTGGCGCATGCTGCGATACTAAGTGAATGCTGGGCCGAAGACTGCTGGTTTCTAGCAGCAATGTTCGAGCCAGGGTGAAGATGGCGACGCCCGTCCCTCCCCCCAGCTATGGCCGTCAACTCCCCTCCCCAAAGTCCAGCCGAGGCTGCGTGGTTGCCGCTCTTTGGCAAAACGCTCCCCCCATTCCCCCCTTGAGACTTCTGTGGGCCTCTGGAGTTCCACGGAGGCACCCGGGGGCCCCAGGGGGGCGCCCGGCGGACGCAGGGGCATTTCGAGGCTCCATGGAGACCCTCTCGCGCCGGCCCGGCCAGGTGCAGCTGCTCACACCGCAGGGCAGATGGCACGCAGGGCGGGAACAAAGCGTGCGAGGGGTGCGCCGAAATGGCGAGGACGCGGCGTGCGGGCATGACGCGGGCGCCTTCGGCGGAGCTCACTGCGGGGCCACGGAGCGCGCGCGAAGGCGGCGCCCCCAGTGCGGCGGGGGGCACCGTGCGGACCTTCGCCCCTGGACCCCTCGGCGGAGCTCCTTTCTAGGGCAGAGAACCGCGCCGGGGGAGCGCCGAAAAGCCGCCATGCGAGTCTTGCCACTGAGGCCCTCGGCGCAGCTCCCCATCGGGCCACGAAACGTGCGAGGGGCGCAGAGTTAAGTCGGGCATGTCCCCCTACAGCGGGGATTTTCGACGAAAAACAAGAAATACCCCAAGAATAATCAAGAAATAGTCCAAGAATAGTCTGGGGACTATGTTTTGAGTATTCTTCGGCCTTCTTGGGGTATTTTGGGGGTGTTTTTTGTTTTTCGTCGAAAATCCCCCTGTAGGGGGACACGCCCGACTTAAGTGTAGAGACATTGGTGCAGGGCCGCCATGCGGACTTTGCCACCGGGGACTTCGGCGGAGCTCCCCATGGGACCGCGAGCCGTGCGAGGGGTGTGCCGAGCTGGGAGCGGTGCCGCCATGCGGACTTGACCACAGGGGCCTTCGGAGCAGCTCCCTATGTGGCCAGGAAGCGTGTGAGGGGAGCGCCGAAATGGAAGCGGTGCCGCCTTGCAGACTTGACCACTGGGACCTCGGGCGGTACTCCCTATGGGACCACGAAACGCGTAAGGGCTGCGCCGAAGCGAGCATGCGCAGGGCAGGAGGAAGGAGGAGGGGGATGGAGAGAAGGAGGCAGGGCGCGGCGCCGCGTCTTCAGAACGAGGAGCAGAAGCCCCACCACTGCTGGAGAAAAGACTCCACCCGAATTGGCACGAGGGAAGCAGGTCCTGAGGGGAGCGGGACGGGACCCCGGGAGCCTTCTCCAGGACCAGCCTCTCCTCCCGAGTCGTGCTGTGACGGCCCAAGGGCCCATTTGGCGGCGCGCACAAGGGGGTGGGGGGGGGGGGGGAGGGCTTCTTAGAAGCAGGCTGCCTCTTAGAAGGCGCCGGCCTTACATCTACAGATAGGGCCCGCGCCCTCCGAGAAGCAGGGGTGCTTCTAAGAAGCCCCCCCCCCTCCCCCCACCCCCCTTGTGCGCGTGGCTGACCCCTGGAGGGCCCCAGTTAGGCAGAAGACCCGGTCTCCGGATGACCCGCCTGCCCCGTGCCAGGCCCTCTCATCCCGAGCGAGGGCGGCGCGAGCCCCCGCTGGGGGGACCAAAAAGTCCTGATGCCACCACTCGGGAGCGGCCAAGAGTGGGGGGTCCCAGAGGGGGGGGGTGCAAATCATGACCGGCGGCATGTGCGCGGCCCAGCGGGGGGGCCAGGGACGACTGTAATGAAACAAGAAGAGGCGCCATGAAATCTGGGGAGATATCATGGCCCCCGCCATGATATCCACACACACACACACACACAGTCATCACCCCCCTCTTTTCCGCCCCCGAACCACTCCACGGACCTCGCCTGGGGTGACTTCTGACCAACATTTCGCAGAGAACCCAGCCGGGGTGGCGAGGGCTCTCCAGGACGAGCAGCGGTGTCGCGACAGCAAGCTTCTGATTGATCAGAGGGGGGAGGGGGGGGGGGGCGGGGGGCAAACGTGAAGATGGTCCGCGGCCAACCAACCACCCCCCCTGGCACCGCCCCCCCGAATCCGACCCCGTAGTTACGCTCTCTGGCCAACCCGCCCCCCCCGCGGGCAATCCGTGAATCGGGGGAGCCACCGACGGAATGTTTGAAACCAGTCTCCCGGACCATGCGGTGACGCTGACCGAGCCGGCGGCCCGGTCCAATACCAGCCAGAGTGCACGGATAGGCCGGCACGGCCAAAACACGGGCCTCTCCAGCAGAATGCACACCCTAGGTAGGCTTGCGCTGTGCCGTGCTGCGCGGTGTGTGGGCAGAGCGTAACGTGGCACCTTTCCGCCAGCACTTGATGAGGAGAACGACCAGGGCAATCGTTTCAGCCACGCTGGCAGGACAGCTTGCCGGCGGAAACTGTGACGTAGGGCAGTGCCGTTCGGTGCGTGAGGCATGGCAGGCATAGCATGTCGTCGGGGGTCTGTCTAATTGGGGTTTCTTGTGAGCGCAGGGAGAGTGGCAACGCCAACCCCGCGCCCATGTAAGTAATGTTACTGTGCTGGCACTCTTGCTCAAATGGAGCGGTCTGAGGAAAACCATCCTTTGCCCGTCCGAAGAAGTGGAGTCAGTCTCACCGTCGACGCCGGCTGCTCCTCCGACTCTCCATTTCTTGTAACGCCCTCCTTGAGGTGAAACTCATGACCCCTGAAGACAGCAGCCTCCGCCGTCCTCTGCCCGCACCCCCAGCCGAGGCCCATCGACTGTTGCGCTTGATAGCTCAGGGTACCCCTCTCGACGACGTTGTCCAGGAGGCGGAGCAGCAGTAGCATTGAAGATGGAGTTTGATGAGTCGATCGTGCCCCATGCAGGGCCAGACGAGAGGAGAACCCTGAAAAGCAATCCAACGGGAGGGGATTCATGCAAGAGGGAGGTTCGCAAATCATGGCCCGAGGCACGTGTGGCCCAGGGGGGGCCGAGGGACGCGTTGAAACAAGAAGAGGGCCATGAAATGCGGGGACATGCCATAGCCCCCTCCATGATCTCCAACCCCCCCAATCGTCCCCCCCTCCCCAGACCCCCGACGTCATGATCTTGTCATAACGTCGACCCCCAAATGGGTCTCAACCCTTTCACCGCGACCAGCTTTTCATCCTGAGTCGTTTTTGTTGACGGCCCCGAGGCCCGGCAAAGGGCCCCCCGAGGGTGGAAATAGCGAAAAACGTGCCGTCATGAAGACGGGAGGGGCTCTGGGTCTTGGCCGCCCCCGACGAGAGCGGCGCGAGCCCCCGCGGGACAGAAGGGCCGAGCCCGCCTGAGGCGGCTCGGCGCCTCTTTGTGTAAAGACGCAGTGCACAGTGGGACGTTTTCGAAACACCCGCTGTGCACTGCATCTCTCCGCTCCGCCTCCGGTCTCCTCGTCGACGATGCTCGTCCGATGCTGCACTGCAAGCGACTTGGCCCGAAGAGCCCCGAGGGGGCGACACGCGTTGGCCTCTCTTTCTCTTTCTTGGAGACCCGATCCAGCACAGACGCTCCCCACCGCCTGAGGGACGAGGAGGAGGAGGAGATTCATGCGGAGGAGGAGGAGGAGGAGGGGGAGGAGGCATCCCCAGACGGCGCTGGCGCGGACCGCGGCGTGGCCCGCCCCCCTCGCCCTCTGCCCCCCCCCCCCATCCACGGGAGGCGCAGGCCAGGACCGCCTGAGGCGGCCTGGCGCCTGCCGCCCCTGCGCCGCGGGCGCAGGCTCGCCCCGCACGCGCTGCAGCCCGGCAGGTCCCCGGCGGCCGGAGGCCCGGCGGCCGCGGCGCCAGCGGCCTCCGCCCCCCCCCCAGAGGGGGCGGTGGAGCGATGAGCAACACAAGGAGCCCTAACCTCCTCCTCCTCCTCATCCTCCTCCTCCTCCTCCTCCTCCTCCTCCGCCTCCTCCTCCTCCTCCTCCTCCTCCTCCCCCTCCTCCTCCTCCTCCTCCTCCTCCTCCTCCTCCTCCTCTTCTCCTACTTCTTTCTCCTCCCACCCCTCCTTCCTCCTCCTCCTCTCCTCCTCCTCCTCCTCCTCCTCCTCCTCCCTCCTCCTCCTCCTCCTCCTCCTCCTCCTCCTCCTCCTCCTCCTCCTCCTCCTCCTCCTCCCCTAGATGAATCCGACCGCTGTTCTCGATCGCGTGCCGCCAACATCGCGGGCCGTGGACCCCCCAGCATCGAGGGGACCTCAGTTAGGAGGACCCTGCAGATGTACCAGACCAAACCGCCCAGATCGATTGTCCCTGATGCAACGACGGGGACCTAAGTGAGGTTACGTCTCCACTCTGGTAGTAGGTTTAGGGTTTTTTATTCTCGGCGATTGAGGGCGGCCAGGCGGGGGGGGGCGGGGGTCAGTAAGCATCGAGTCTGTAGATCGGATCGAGCTGGGACTAGAGGCGTCCTACATGGGGTCGGAAGTAGATGGGGTCGGAGGACCGCGCCGCATCGCCGATACATCGGCGATACATCGGCGATACACCGGCGATGCATCGTCAACGTCGGCGGTGCATCGGCGACGTCGGCGTAGTCGGCGATGCATCGGCGATGCGGCGCGATCCTCCGACCCTATCTACTCAATTCCTAAACAGTTGTTTAAACACATGTTCTAGACATCCGAAACTTATTTGGCAACACGCTTCCTCTCCATGGATCGTCCTCCACAAGCATAAGGACTACGCAGAAAGCATCTATACACCACCACCGTGCCAGGCCGGGGCCATCCTGGGCCCTAGGATGGTGTATACGCCCTCCTGGCCGAGCCAGGAGGGTCTATACACCATCCTAGGGCCCAGGATGGCCCCGGCCTGGCACGGTGGCGGTGTATAGATGACTTCGTCGGAAGGACGTGCCAGCACTCTGTGCCTTGGCTGCCGGCGCACGCCTGGCTCGAGCGTGCAGCACCGAATCCTGTGGCGAGCCGTCTCCCCGGGCGGCGTGGCCCGAGAGCGCCCGCCACGGAGCCCAGCCTGGAAGGTTCCTGAGCGTGCGCGTCGCCCTTGCGCGGCCGACGCACACGAAAGGGGCCCCGGGACACACAAAGAAATAGACGTTTTTTGATCCGCGGGTCGAGAGCGAGGGGGGGAAGTGAGCAAGGGCGAACCTTCTCAGAAGGCTCGGAAGTCCCCAGGCCTTACGAGAACTCTCCGAAGCCTTCCCTGACCACGCAGAAAAATTCTCGGAAGGAGCGACGCTTTCTGAGAAGTGCCGCCGCCTTCTGAGAGGGCCTTCTCCTTCTCACTTCCCCCTCGATCGCCGCCGAACTCTTTTTTGATCCGCGGGTCGAGAGCGAGCCTCTTCCGGTCGAAGCTAAGCGGGCCGCGCACAGCTTTCATTGACAGAGAGGGGAAGGCAGACGGAACAAGTAAATAGACACAAATAAGAGGACTTCCCATCATTTCCTGTATCGTCTGGGCTGTCGTCTTCCCCCCGGCTTCAAAATAGTGTCCCGCATTTTCCGGGGGGTCGACGATCAATTGCGTCTGTGTGGTTTTCCCCTCCTGAGCACATGTAATATAGTATACCTGTGTTTGGGTGGCGCCAACAAGTCGAAGTGTGCCTCGGACCGGGCTGCAACGGCACGGCGTCGAGATCCCATCGGATCGGCCGCGCCAGGATGCACAGCAGCATCACGCAAGCGTTGGGCCCGTCGCATCGAGAAAAAGACATCATAGTCGCATCCGGCCGGATCGGGCAGGCCGGAACCGATATCAGGCCGGGCCAGATCGAAATGGACCTTGGCTGACTGACTGCGGCCTTGCATCCCTTGCAGACGCGTAGGCGAAACAAAAAACGAATCAGCATACGAATGGACCTTGGGGGGGGTCGGAAATGCGGGGCCGGGGCAAAATCTCAAAAACGCCGACCACGGAGGCCTCCCAGAAGGGGTCCGAGCAGATGGTGTCGGAAGGTCGCGCCGCAGCGCCAATGCCTCGCCGACTCGCCGATGCGTCGGCGACGCTGGCAATGCGTTGGCGCCGTTGGCGTGGAGAGAATCGCGCTCCACGTCGAGCCGTATCGCCGATGCGTCGGCGATGCAGCTCGACCCTCCTCCTCCTCCTCCTCCTCCTCCTCCTCCTCCTCCTCCGACCCCATCTATTCCGACCCAATGTGGGAGTTCTGGAGGACTTCGGAACCCAAATAGTCTGAAAACCGCAAACTGGCCATTGCCAGCTCCTGCAGTCGAAGGTTCTGTGAGAAACGGTCCGAACATTCTCGCCTCGTCGTTGTGGAGCGGTGCGGGGTCACAGACGCCGACCAGGTTCCATGACTTCCGGTGGACTTGCTTCGTCTGTTCCGCCGTGTCCCTCAGGTTTTTTGCCTCCAGGGGGCTGTCTTCGGGCCCTGGGCGCTATCAGGAGCGGGTCCGGATGGAAAGCTGCCCCGCGGAAGGGGGTCGAGAAATCTGGGGCACGCGCAGTTTCTTGTTACCGAAAAAAAAAAACGTCAGGAGTCTGGGGAGGGAGGCGGAGGGCTGGGCGCGAGAGGGAGGAGGGGCGGAGGAAGAGGAGGAGGAGGAGGAGGAGGAGGAGAGATCTTTACCTCACAGGACAGCGAGTCGCCCCCTTGCATCTGGTACTAGTGCGGACTCGGCACGCACGAGCTTCAAAATCTCGATGTCCACCAGGGGGTACGACACAGAACCTGAGACCGACCCGACTCGGTGCGGCGTGGGGGCCGCTTGCCACTGTTACCTCAAGCAAGCTCGCATTGGCGGCGGGCGAGGGGGGGGAAGTGAGCAAGGGCGAACCTGCTCAGAAGGCTCGGAAGTCCCCAGGCCTCACGAGAAGTCTTCGAAACCACCTTCCCTGACCACGCAGAAAGCTTCTCGGAAGGAGCGACGCTTTCTGAGAAGTCCCGCCACCGTCTGAGAAGGCCTTCTCCTTCTCACTTCCCCCCAGATCGCCGCCGAACACTTTCTTGATCCGCGGGTCGAGAGCGCACCTCTTCCGGTCGAAGCTAAGCGGGCCGCGCACAGCTTGAATTAACGAGAGGGGGGAAGGCAGAAGGAGGGGCCTCACGTCAAGGCCAAGAGAAGGCAAAGCCCTGGATCGCCGCCGAACGCAGCTGCAGCAAAACGCTTCTCGCCTCCGCGGGGCCCCAGGGCCGCCGCCGGGTGTCTGGCTCGCCGCGGGGCAGGGCGGACCCGTCGAGGAGCTCCTCTCGAGGGGTGCAAGAAGAGGCCCGAGGCAGGCGGGGCCCGGCGGCCTCGACTGCATCGAAGTCCAGAGGGCCACTGCCAGCGAGGATCAAAGATTTGAAGGGGCCCTGGGACACACAAATAAATACACACAAAAGAAAAAATCCCCATATTTTCCTATAGTTTCTGGGTTTTTGTCTTCCCCCCCATTTTCCATATGTTCCTATATTGTTGGGGGGATCGACGATGAATTGTGTCTGTGTGCTTTTTCCCCTCCTGCAGATTTACTTGGCCTGTGGGGCTTTTTGGGGGGGACGCCTTGCGCGTTCGGGTGTTTGCCTTGCGGGTCATCTCCGAGCGAGCATGGGCCTTCCCTCCGCTCTGGCGATCTGCGCCGTCGGACGATGCCCCCCTGCTGGACCTGACACAGAAGAGCAGCGCACGCAGGCCACCGTCGTGGACCCCCTGCCGCCGCTTGCAGAGAAAAACAGATGCTCCCTCCATCTATTCTCGGACCATCTTCGCACCGATGATCTGCAGGATCTCTTTGACCAGCGAGCCAACGTGCCAGGTAGGCGAGTGCTGGTGCGTTCGCTCAGCCTCGCGTGCGGCAGGTTCGTGTCGTGACGACCCTGGCGCTGATTTCTGCCACCACATGGATCGTTCAACCTCGAAGGATCGTTGGCGTTCCGATGGCCAAACCGTTCCATGTTGGCCGATTCTGGGTCACTGGCTGTGTTCAGCCTTGAACGCCCGCGGCGGGATGGCCGCTGCGTCGGCACGAGGCCAACCTGCCGTACGACTCTGTCTCGGGGAAACTTGTGGCCCCAGGGGCTACAGCTCGTTGGCGGGGCCTCTAGCGGCTCGTGTGCGCCTGCGGGATGCTGGCTGGACTGCCCTGCGGAACTTTGTTCGACCGCGGAGTGCCAGGTGCCCTGGGGCTCGGATACCTCCTCGGCCCCATCAGGAACGTGGCCACACCTCTTCCTTGCTTTCTCAACGGACTCATGGCAACAATGAGTGACAATCGATGAGCGATTGACATAGTGACCCTATGACGAAAATTGGCGACGCCTTGGGGACTGCTGCCCATCACGGACCGCGAGCGTGCGCAGGCTCGAGCCGGGAGTGCGCTCTTGCGAACAGGGATCGGGTTGCTCTATGACTTGCCTCCTCGCCCGTATGTCCGCCTCCTCCTCCTCCTCCTCATCCTCCTCCTCATCCTCCTCGTGATCCTCCTCCTTCTCGTCATCCTCCTCATCCTCCTCCTCCTCCTCCTACACCGTCCTCATCCTCATTATCTCCTTCCTTCGTCTTATCGGCTCCCCCTCCTCATCAGCATACACTACCTCATCCTCCTCATCCTTCCCATCCTTCTCAGCCGTATATTCCTTCCCCTAATCCGTTTCATGCTCCTCTACCAACACCTGCAGCAGCGGACCGTAGTCTCAAAACATCAAGGGGTCGGGGGATACAGGGTCAACCTGATGAATCCAAAACCCGCAGCGCGATTACGATATCAACAACAAAATCGTGATTATGCCGTTCCTTGCCATGTTGCTTTCCTACTTGCGAAACCCAAGCATTGCCACTCCATCGATGAGGTCTTCGGCTTGATTTGCTGCTCCTCCGCGGATATGAAAAACTTTGTGGATCAAAGTGCATGACGCAAAGCCCAAAATCACACTTGCAGTTTTTACTACACACGAACGTCCGCACATGCATATATGCTCATCCCAAAAGACGGTATGAATCACCCACCGGAAATACCAACACGAAAAATAGAATTCGCAAAAGCGACTGGCAACTCCAATCACCTGAGCGGACATAGCATGGGAAACGCTACTCGCTCGCAACAGTGAGTGCACCGTGCACTCCTGCAAAAGATTATCATCGCCATCCCGTCCTCCGCTTGCTGCTGCGCCGTCTCTCTCTCTCTCTCTCTCTCCACCACCTTGTCCTCCTGCTCCACCTCTCCCTGCTCCTACTCGTCTTTTGTTTCCTCCGAGCGGGATCTCAATGAAACCGACGGTGGACTGACGTGGGCTGGGAGACATCAGGCAGGCGCGATCGGATGCGAAGCTCGCGCCCGATGGCGAGCAAGGCGAAGGAAGCCTCTCCCCTGGGCGCGCCCACGGCGAGAAGCCGCCGAAGGCCTCCCCGTAGGTCGTGGAGCAGCCCACGTCCATGGGCGCGCGCGCCTGAGCGCCAAACAAGCGGCGCAGGCCCCCCATCCCCATCCGTTCCTGCTCGTGCTCCCTCTTCCTTGCCTCCGCCGTCCCCCGTTCACCGCTCGCCCTCTCCCGCTGCCTTCTGGCTCCTGCCTTCTGGTGGGTGCCCGCGCCTGCGCCTCTCAGCAGGCAGCGGGCAAGAGTCTCAGAAAAAAAGACTGCGACCAGACCTGGCCCTGAGACAACAAGAGGCTGCGCATCATGCATACGCGGAGTGACATGCCACAGAATATTGCATAGACAAAAGGATATGTCGTATTTTGTACGGCGTGCTCTGCCACACTAGTTCATGCGCGAGAGAAGATACCAGAACGAAACGATCGGTTGTTCAACACGTTGCGTCACGTAAGCCTTGTAGCTCGGTGGAAGAACACAATCGAATCGGAGTTCGTCTCTCTTCCACTGTCTGACTTCACCAATCAATGTCTGAAAGCTGGAGGGGTGCCCTCATTCAATCCAAACTTGGGGTTCGAACTTCCTCGGTCCCGTCCCTGACCGACGTATCGCAGCGAGACTCGGTCTAGACCCGAACAACTTAGACGTTGCATTCGCGCTATCTGTGCAAGAACAAGTGCATCACGCCTGCGAAAATCCGCAATCTTGCCTCGATGAATGTTGACCCTTTGGTGGTTCAGTGTTGTGTGCGGCCGAGCTTTTGCGCGCACTGGCGGCACTACATCATTCCGAGCTGTTCAAAACCCACATACATGATTCCTTGCAACTCGATTTGGATAATCGGTATAGATCGCCCAGGCGGAAAACTACCTTGGGCCCACCAAAGGATCCTGGTTAGCCTAAGGTAGGCCTTACCCAGAGGAGGAGAAGTTGCTTCACAGCTTCTTGCTTGTCCACAGCTCGAGTTTGACTAGCGCTCGTCATTATTCCCATTCGAATAGTCTGCATCCCAGCTACTGTAGAAGACTGTATCTGATGATTATCTGTTGAGTGGAATGCTTCCCAGCTCCCTAGCTTCTCCATCACTCGAATCAAGTGCACGGAGCCTTAGGTAGCCCAAGGTAGGCCCCACCCGAGGGCCGGGACCGAGACCGGGGCCAGGGCTGGGCCCGGGGCCAGGGCCGGACCCGGGCCCGGACCCAGAGCGGAAAGAAGCAGGACCGAGGCCGAGACCAAGTCAAGACTGGGGCTGATGCTGGCGCCTGGGCCACGGCCGCTGGGAGTGGGGCCAATCCGCAGCCAGAGCCGCCGAAACGAGCATTTTGAATACAATTTTTGGGTCTGCGGGGCGAGAGCGAACCTCTTCCGCTAAAAGCTAGGCGGGCTACGCACAGCTTTAACATTTTGAACACAAAGGCGGCCGAAAACCAGAATTGAACACGAAACCATCGGACCTAACCATTTCATCTCTGAGACGGCCAGAAGCTGAATTTAAACAAGGAGTATTATTCGAAACCTGAACACGTAAGCGGTCGAAACTCTAAGCCAAACAATTCAATAGCTGAGACGCCCAAACCTGTTTTCTTGTTGGACTCTAAATGTATATCGGATCGGTCGAAGCCGACATTTGAACACAAAACTGCCCAGACGAACAATTTGAAAAAGGCAACGGCTACTCAGCACAACTCGGCTCGAACCCTTCGGAACTCACAATTTAAACTCTAGCACGGAAAAAAACATCAGTGCTAACCAAAAACGCGTAACTCTAAAAATGAACACGAAACCGCCTGGACGAATAATTTGAATACAAAGACGGCTCGCAACGGAAATCGAAACCATACTACAAGAAAAAAATAAAACCTATGATGGCCAAGAGCTCGTTTTGAACAAAAACCTTACAAATCAAACACAACGGTCGACACCTACAATCAAATACGAAAAAAACTGGAATATCAAATGAAAACTAAACATGAAATCATCGGAGCTACCAACGTAAAAGACGTTGGTGTAAAACTACGAATGGCCCAAGCCAATGAACTGAAAAGGCCCTGAATGTAATGACTTCTGGAATATACGTTAATGCTGTGAAGCACAGAGACGGTGCTTAACGATTTCCCAAACATCCTGTTATGTTGGGCCTTCGTTTGGAAGAAACGGCGCCCCGCGTCCATTCACTCCTGCTTTCTCCCCCCCCCTTCCATCATTCCTCTTGCCTGTGCTCTCGTCGTCGTTATATTGAGCATCATCATCACCATCATCATCATCATCATCATCATCATCATCATCATCATCATCACAATCATCATCGTCGTCGTCATCATCATCATCATCATCATATCATCATCATCATCATCACTAATCGCCATCATCGTCACATCGTCTTCATCGTCATCAGCATCATGGCACACGCTCTCCACATGTTTCCTGGCCCCTTAGGGGTCCCGTGGAAGGCCCCAAAGGGAAAAGTCTCGTGCATGCGAACTTCCCCAATCAGGCGTGAACTGGGTTTCCCTGGGGCCACGAATCGTGTGAGGCGTGCGCCGATATGGGGGGAACTGCACGCGGATTTTCCTCCCGGCGCGCTCAGTGCAACTTATATATATATGAACAAAAAACAAAAACAAAACAAAAAAAACAAACACAAAAAAAAAACGACTCTCTAACAACACCTCACGCCAACACTGGCCGCCGGGCACGACCAAGGCGACGAGGCTCCACGAACCGTGTGAGGGGCAAGGCTTCAGGCACGCGTATTGGGAAGAGCTTGCCGGAACGCGCTGCGACTTCAAGCAACTTGTTCCAGAGATACCTGCCCGGGAGCCTTGGAGACAAGCTGGCCTACTCTACGCTGGCAGCTTCTAAAATAAAACTCTGTCAGCTCTCCGAAAGCTATCAAGGGGGGATACAACAAAAAAATGATTACAGGTCGTGAAGATGTTCGGCGTACACATGCCAAGAAAAATTCATTCCGTGGGCGACGAAGCCGAAAACTGGCGGGCAACCATTCCAAGAACTCGCGGCACTGGTTTCGGAATCCGAAGGGGCGACCATTCCAAAAACTGGCAGCCGACCATTCCAAGAACTGGCGGGAGACCAGACCTAAGCACTGGCGGCGCGGCCATTCGTCCAAACTGGTGGTACGGGCAGTTGCCACTGATGGGACCAAACCATGTCGCCATAGGAACATAATTACATTGTCATGGGGCATCACGGAAAAAACAATACGAACCGACCATTCGATTCATAGATTTAGCGCTGCACGATGTTTTTTAACAGCCGTTGGTTTTATTATGGTCGGAACGTTCGCACACAAGCACTTTTAGTTCCCACTGTTTGATTATACGGTTTAATGTGGAATTCTCTTCTAGATGCATCGGGAAAAATCATTGATTCCAACAAGTCTCCTGTGCCCGTACACACCGACACCTATGGAAAAGCTCGCGCCGTGTATTGAAAAAGGTACACGCAAAGCTTGGATTCAAACGAATGAAGTGCCAACTGGACATCCTTTGATCCAGGACTGGCGCATTCACGCCCTGGAAACACCAGAACTCTGCTGTCGAACGCAATCAAGGAAAATCTAGACGGCCGATCGAATATCCGACAAGCGACGGCAACTTAAATCCCGAAAGACCTTTTTGGTAATTTGTTCTCTAAGAATCCCTCGCACTTTCGAAATCGAACTCTCGATGGAGGAAGACTCCCCTACGAGTTACTACATATCTGAAAAAAATCTGAATAACGATCGACGAATTGAGGAAAATAAAAATATATGGGAAATGCGGTTGCTACATTTTACGTGTTTCAGACACACTCGCACGTATGCCGTCACTGACACCTAAATCTCAGTTGTCGATAACCACCCACACGTATTCCGTCACTGAAATTTAGATGTAAGTGGTAGATATTCACGTGCGAATGCCCATTACTCGAATCTAGATTTCATTGATTCGATATGGGCGAATCCAAAAACGTCTTACGGATTTAACTCAAATATGAATTGAAAGGATTCGAAATGCACAACCCAATGTATCCCATATGTGTATATATACAAAAATATCGGCAACACAGAATTCTATGTTTAGCTACCACTCAAATCTGGATTTCAGAGAATCGCATTATCATTCACGAAATCGCAAATACGTCTCACTGAACTTTAGGTATCAGTAAGCACCAGTGACCACACCACAACAGCCTCACCTAAATCGAAAAAATCAATGGGCACCAGCGACCAGACCACAACCGCCCCACTCAAATCTAGACTTCACTGGGCACCACTGACACACCACCACCGCACAACGGCCTCATAAAGTCGATTTCAATGACCACACCAAACAACCTCACTCGAAGCTCGATGTCTGCTGTTGTTGCTGTTGTGCTGCTGCTGCTCCAAATGGCACTGCCCCTGCTCTTCGTTACGCGCACCATTGGAACTGGCAAACCAGAAGCTTCAGCAAAGCAACACAAACGCAAAAACTGGAAAACAGCGCATCAACAATTTCTCGAGCTGCGCCTTGAGCCCTGCTGCTTAGACCTGTTAGCGCGAACAGGTCCCCTCAAAAAGTTCTGCTCGGTTTCGCTCTCATCCTGACACCTGCTTGACTCGTACAACCCTGCGCGACCCATTCAAATGCGCTTGCGAAGACTCCAAGAAAATGCGCTGCACATCCAACTGAATACAGGCCCAACATACACTTCAACGCATATCAAATAATCCAATATATGCTCACCATTTGACTTGTACACTTCAGATCTCTTTTTTTTTTTTTTTTTTTAAAAAAAAAAAAAAAAAAAAAAAAAAAAAAAAAAAAAAAAAACTATAACACGCGTTCACTCGGCAACGTCGTTCCTGACACATAAGATTATGAATAATAACAAAAAACACCCAGTGTGACCCTGTACTTATCAACAAAATCATATGCGTGATTACATATATGTATACGTATGAGAATGAAAATATGACTACAAAAACCAATAATACTCTTTGATATATAAGAAGCACGAAAAAATCTTGAACCGAGCCTAAAGCAAATCATCTTACGCCTTTCAAGTCCGCCCGGATCGGCCACTAGAGCACGGCCAGTCGCTCGCTGACTGAGAGGCACGGAAAATGCCTCAATACACACACTACCACATGGGGCAGGAAAGAGAAGGTGGGCGGAAAACGGAAAGATGAAGCAAGAGGCCACACACCAACCTAGAAACCAACTGGCAGACGCCAATCCCCCGCGAGGCCAGTGGACTGCGCTAGAAGGCATTGACCCTCCAATCCGCGCCCCCTTTGCCGCTTTGCTTCG